AGAAAGCAGGTCACAAGGAGTCAAGAGGGATGATGAGGTTCAAGGCCGCGTGCGTCCAGCCAATAGAGTTTCGCCCTTGAAGTAGCCTGACCTCGTCACGTGGAAGGCTCAGCTCTTGCCGAACAGCTGCCGCCCCTCCACTCGTGCGCTAGTGTCTTGGCATTGTTTACTTTCAGCCTTTTTCGTGTTGGTGCGTTGGTGATGCAGTATCGCCCTACCAAACTCCCGTTCCCGTTACACCCTGGCCCTTGTCCTCCAAATCATGTTCCCTCAATAAATCCTGACATCCGCACGGTCATGCCTGCAAGAAGCATGGCGGCACCACCGCGTCCTACGAACCCATCCACGAGGACATCAATGCGTCCACCACTGCGACCAAATGCAACACATTATGCCTCTATGACTGGCCGAGCCCCTTCCCCGGCAGAATCACTCTCCTCAAGCAGTGCCTCTAATGCGGGAACCAAGAGGAAGGAAAGGGATTTTGACCATGACCATGGCGAAGAGACGAATATCAATGTGGTGGTACGCTGCCGTGGCCGCAGTGACCGAGAAGTGAGAGAAAACAGCGGGGTGGTGGTATCAACAAGCGGAGTAAAGGGCAAGACGGTGGAATTGTCCATGGGACCAAATGCTATCAGCAACAAGGCCTACCACTTCGACAAGGTCTTTTCCCCGGCGGCCGACCAGGCGATCATTTTTGACGATGTTGTGGCACCTGTTCTTAACGAAGTCCTGGCCGGCTACAACTGCACGATCTTCGCATATGGGCAGACGGGGACCGGAAAGACGTACACCATGTCAGGGGACATGACAGACAGTTTCGGGCTGTTATCCGATGCTGCAGGAATCATTCCTCGAGTGCTGTATTCACTCTTCCAGAAGCTCGATGCAGATGAGGTGGAGTGCTCGGTGAAATGCTCATTCATCGAGCTCTACAATGAGGAGCTGAGGGATTTGCTGTCCTCGGATGACTCTGTCAAGCTTAAGATTTTTGATGACGCGAACAGGAAGAGCCATTCGGCCACGGTGGTTCAGGGCATGGAGGAGTCACACATCAACACTGCAGCCGCAGGGATAAAACTACTCCGAGAGGGCAGCCACAGGCGGCAGGTTGCGGCCACGAAATGCAACGACCTCAGCTCCCGAAGCCACACAGTCTTTACCATCACGACCTATATCAAGAAGGCCAGCGAAGCTGGCGATGAGTATATCTGCTCTGGAAAACTGAATCTTGTCGATCTGGCTGGCAGTGAGAACATCCAAAGAAGTGGAGCCGAGAACAAGAGAGCCGCCGAAGCTGGTTTGATCAACAAAAGCCTACTGACCTTGGGCAGAGTGATTAATGCTCTCGTGGACAAGAGTTCTCATATCCCTTATCGAGAGTCGAAGCTCACCAGATTACTGCAAGACTCGCTGGGCGGAAGAACGAAAACGTGCATCATTGCGACGGTCTCACCGGCGAAAAGCAATCTGGAAGAGACGATCTCCACCCTGGACTACGCTTTTCGCGCCAAGAACATCCGCAATAAGCCTCAGGTCAACTCAATGATCTCCAAGAAGACGTTGTTGAAAGAGTTCACCGCTGAAATCGAGAAGCTGAAGAGCGAGCTGATTGCCACAAGGCAACGAAATGGAGTATATCTCACCAACGATCAGTACGAAGAAATCACGGTGGAGAGTGAGTCCAGGAGGATCCTCAGCGAGGAGCAGAAGGCGCGAATAGAAACAATGGAGGTCAGCCTCCGTAACAAAGTCCAGGAGCTGTTCAGCTTGACCAACAACTTCACCCTGCTGAAACGCGACAATGAGGCGACCAGGATCATTCTCGAAAGCACCAAGGGTGTGCTCGAAAAGACTGAAGCGGTACTTGAGGACACCAAGAGGCTACTTATGGAGGAGACCGTTATCCGCGAAGCACATGAAGCAACAGAGGAGCGGTTGTTCGGCATCGGTGCCGAGTTGGTTTCAACCGTTGGTGCATCACTGAAGGACATCGACGGTCTGCATGCGAAACTGAGACGGCGTTCTGACCTCCAGACTCGAAACCGAGAATCTTGGAAATCTCACGTCGATCGAATTGCCCATCTTTCGGGGGTTGTTGATCGCTGCATCGACCATTTCCAGGCAGCACATTCGGAGATGGTGGCTACAAGCTCTGCTCGGATCGAGGCATTTATCGGTGCGGAGACGGCGCGTTTAGAGAGTTCCACAAGGCGTATTCTTGAGGCGTCATCTGAGCTGGCGGAAGATTGCACTGGTGTTGAGAATCAGTCGGCACAAGCCAGGGATTCCATGAACAATGTGCTGGAAGAGATCAAGGATCTACGAGAAGAGGTCAGGGACAAGGTCAGCGAGGGCCTTCAGGGTCTGTCTCAAGCAGCCGCAAAGATCTCAGCGGAGGTAATATCGGAGATGGAGCAGTTCCATACTCAGCTGAACTCGTCTTACAGTGGCCTTGGCAAGGACTTCAAGGCCATGTTCGACGATCTCACCAAACAAATGTCATCACAGCAGGATGAAATCCTCTCCCTGAGGTCGGCTCTACAACAAGCAAGTCACGCGAACATTGCTGCGTCACTGGCAGCGTCGACTCAGCTCGAGGCTATACGAGACGAGGAAAGACAGGTTGCGCAGGACGAAAAGGACAAAATGAAAGAGCAGATCTTTGCACTGATCGAGTCGTCCCATCACCAGCAACAGGAAAGGCTGTCGAGCAGGTTGAATAACGTTCAAGCCAATCTGGTCGACGCGACAGAGCAGTTTGAAACTGCTAATGGGGCCCACCACCATGGCATGGAGAAGTGGACTTGTCAATACAATGAGCTGATGACGAAGGTGGTGAAGTCAAAGGATGATTTGAAGGGCAGGATGAAGGGAGACTGGACGGTGAGTGGACTGCAGCACATTGCAATCTTTATTGTCACTAATGATGGAACAGTCAATCAATGCTCGAAATACAGCTATCCAAAAGTCCACCAAAGCGGTACACGAGGAGACGGTCAAGATTGTCGAAGCCCAAGTCGCCCAAGTCGCCACCTCAATGGCAGCACTCGACGAATTTGTGACAAGAGCACGAACACAGAACGATAGTCACCATGCCGACCGCCTGCAAAAGCTGAGCACTGTCGTGTCTCGAGCCCAAGATGGGTACACCTCTCTTGAAAAGGATTCGCACGAGTCCAAAGCCGCGCTTGAAAGTTTTGTAGAAGGCCAGAAGCAACAAAAAATGGATCTTGACATACTGATTGGCTCCTTGAGCGAAGAAACACGGGAATCACTGCTGGAGCTGAAGCGTGAGCTTTCGGACAGCAGCTTGGCCGAGTACACGTCGACGGGGCAAACACCACAGAAGAGAGACTGGAACTATCCTACCGAGCTGCCACGGACTGAGAACCACGACACAATCATAGCTAGGGTAAGAGGCCTACCTGAGCCGGGGCTTGTTAACAAGACACCTTCATCAGCACGGACTCCTGCCAAATCGCCTCGCAAACAAGCGTCGCCACGGAAAGGCCCAGCGTCACCATCCAAAATTCCCAGTCCGAGCAAAACAAAGGTGTTTACCGACGTGGAAATGCCCATGATCCAGCGAGCGACGGCAGCGTCCCAAACACAGGCCTTGACGACGATCTCTACCGTGGCCTCCAGCGAACCAAAATCGGGAGGGCTCAAGGAAATCGACATCAACGTCGCTAACAGCAACAGGCCTCTCTCCGCATCATCCTCTATCTCGCAGAATGAAGAGAAGCCTGTGCTGCTGGATTTTAGTAAAAGCGTCGGTAGCGGGCATCAACAGCCCCCACTGAAACGGCATGCCACTGCCAATGCGGTCGTGGAGAGCAGGTTGCCCACCGTGAAGCAGGGCAGGGCGACGAGGAGTACAGCCGCAGGGTTCGGATTAGAGAACTTCAGTCAGAGCATTGGCCCACTCGGGGGTGGGAGGAGGTTGAGAAGCAGTCCGCCAGGGTGACCGTGTTTTGACGACCTGCTTGGATTTTGAGAGGTGGTGGTGTAGGGGTGGAGGTCGTGGGCATTTTGGTGTGATCTTTGTATATCGATAGATACCCCTTTGTGTTGGTTAGGCTCATTACTCCAGGACGGACGGTCTCAGCGATAGCTTCATCTATGCCGTCGCACTTTCCTGACAAGATGATAGAATGATGCTGGCAATGCGTCCTTTCCTTTCCTCGACTTGCGTCATATCTCAGTTGCATCTCTCGCAAATCTGAGCCACTCTATCACTTCGCCCATCGTATTTGGCCCCCGACTGCGCCGCCACAGAGCACACAAGGTTGGCTACCGGCGAGCCGCAGTTGGACCAAACGCAAGCGACTCCTGCGGCCAAGAGACGCGGCTTGCATGAACTCGTAAACTCTCGAGCTTTCACTTTTGTCTAGGGGCGTGCAAAGCCCCGCACCAGTTGTCGAAGCCTCTCTTCGCTCTTCGGGTGAGACAAACATTCGCGGGTTCTCAGGCCCTGGCTGCATCTGATGATCTGAACAGCTACTGCAAGACTGACCAGATGAGCAGAAATGAGCGAGGGGGGCTGGGTTGTTGCACGCCCCAGAACTCCCATCGTCTCCCATGGATGCGATTGCCAGCGGCTTCTGTAGCTCGAGGCCCTTGAACCTCTCCGCCACTCATGTTGCACGCCGCAGCGGTTGCGATGAAGCTTCCTGCAGCCACCCCTGGCCTCGTCCTTACCATGGCACTTTCGACTGCTGGCCAGATGCAGCGCGCTGCCCGCCTGCGTTCCCATGCATCTACACTAGCCCAGGGTCCTGAGAGATAATACGAGGTCCTCTGCTGTATATTATTCACAATGTTCAGCCTCACTGGGTGCGGTGCGCCCCATTCTCCCATTGCTCTGATGCCTCAGGCATGTGAATCCTACGTTACAGGTTCAAACGCTCAGTCGGGCGCAGACCCTCTTAAATCGAGCACTTGTTGCCATTGGGTGAGGAATACTACGAGAAAGGCTTCAGCCGCGGCCTCAGATGGATCCAGGTTCGATCCTGGGCTTGCTGGGCTCTGCGGGCGCCATCACCGCCTGCATCGTCGGCACTCTTAAAGACCTCACTGACCTGAGAGCTAAATTCGCCGTGAGCATGCTCTTTTTGCGACGGCGCCAAGCAAGATAACTGACATGCGCAGGTCGCCGACACAAACATTAAACTGCTCAAGTCCGAACTCACGGCCATCAAAAGCGCCCTAGACCGGATACATGACTGGGCAAAGTACAATCTGGAAGAAGATCAGACCCAAGCGCCAAAGCTGGGTGAGGGTCTGGGGGCCATACTCGAGGGATGTAGGGTTGCAATGGAGGTTTTGGCTGAAGATGTGGCCGATCTCCTCAACCCGAACACACTCGAACAGGGCCAGGTGGGTACAACCCATGCAAGAGGAACACGTCCCTAACCGCGCCATGGCTCAATAGTCGCACTTGCGTCTTGGGTTTCGAGATAAAACGAGACTTATCTGGCATGAAGGCGCTCTCAGAGATCACCAGGAGAGACTCTCTCGTCAGACGGGGGCGCTCCATTTGCTCCTTACTGCTATACAGTGGTATGTCAGCGTCTTTGATGGAATCTCTTCACTATCGCTAACGGCTGGGGCTCCAAGCACCAACATCTCTGAGCAGACCAGGCTTCTTCGTGCGCCAGAAAATCGACAGAAAATCCAGGATGTCGTCGACGATACCTCGACTATCCGTGCGGCACGGAGTCAGCGTGCTTCAATCGCGTCGCCTTCGATCAAGAGCGGTACATCGGCTATACCGAGCAGGGCTTTTCCGTTCGACGAAGAGCTTCTGATGACCGATGCCTACCAACATGCTACTCAACACCGAAGATCCAAGTCCGACTCTCGTCGTGATCCCATCCCTCGGCGACCTGATTTGAACATACAGATTCAGGACCACCTCCCAATTGATGAGGGTTACGATACTATGAGCAAGACCACGTCGGATTCGACGCCGTCGGCCAGTCACTGTATGTATCAACCTGTTAGGTGCTCCTCGTCTACGTAGCTTGAGTTAACTTTGCCCAGTGTCCCCTACGTGGTCTCGCGGGTCCACCTCGAGACCCCTCAGACCCTACGAAACGAACCCCATGCGAGCATCTGATCCCGGCAATGTCTATAAGATTCAAACGACCAACCTCAGCGGACGTTTCGATTCGAGCTCGCGGCCGCCATACTCACCGCTGCAGTCACCCACCGTGAAGACGGTCGACAGGAAGAAGTCTTTTTGGCACAGTTTGCGCCGGAAGAGCGATTCGGCAATTGACGAGCACACCCGGCAACAAGATATCAAGAGCCCCATCCCCGGCTCTCAGCGCGGCAAGAAGGGATTCGAGAATAAATTCCACACCAGCGTCGACTTGTCGACCCCGGCTTCAAAGAAATGCCCACCGATTGTGCGTGCGGCTCAAACGGGCTCAATCGACGACATTGAATCTTTGCTGGAGGCCCACGCGGACATAGAAGAATGTTACTGGCCGATTGGGCGGAATGCAATGGCAGTGGCAGCACACTGTGGCAATGAAGAGGTTGTGGAGCTCCTCCTTCGCTATGGTGCCAAAATGTCTCGGAAGGACAGCCTGCATTATACGCCACTGCATCTCGCTGCCAGCAGGGGTCATGTAGGTGTGTTACAGCTCCTCGTCTCTGAGGACGTGCCGCTCGAGGAAAAGGGCCCGAACGACAAGACTGCCTTACGTCTCAGCTGCGACAGTGGGCACCTCGAGGCCGCAGAATTCCTACTTGCTCATGGCGCCAAAGTGAATGCGCGCGATAAGAGCAACCTGACGTCGCTGCACGCGGCAGCCCAGCGCGGAGACCTTCACACGGTTGCCCTTCTGATTAAGTACGGTGCACATGTCCAAGCAAAAGATGCCAAATTTATGGACGCCCTGCATTACGCCTGCGATGGAGGCTTCAACAGTGTTGTTGAGCTTCTCCTCAGCAAGAAGATTGACATTGAGACACCAGGCAACGAGGGCAAAACTCCACTCATGACTGCGGCTTCGGCAGGTCATGCACACACAGTGGGGTTTCTTCTGAAGCGGAAAGCCTCGTTGAAAAGCAAGGGCTTGGGGGATATGACCGCTCTACACTGGGCAGCGTTTAATGGTCACGTCGAGGTCGTCGACCTTCTTGCGCAAAAGAAGGCGCAAATCAACGCGGTTAATGTCGACGGCAGAACTCCACTTCACCTTGCAGTTATGGCAGAGCATTTCGCCGTTGTCGAGTTGTTGTTGCGCAAGAATGCTGCTCTCGAAGCTCAATGCAAGGATTCATTCAGGCCGCTGCACTACGCCTGCGGTTTTGACAATACCGACATTGCACTTCTCCTCCTCCGCTCGGGAGCCGATGTCGAAGCGAGTGCCAGTGCCCAGAACCGACCTCTGCACCTTGCGATAACCCACGGCAACATATCCAACGTTACAATGCTTCTTGAACACGGCGCGAATATCGATGCACGCAATGCACACGGCGATCGTGCTCTGCTCCTTGCAAGCAGTCACGGCCACACGGAGATCGTCAAGGTCTTGCTGGATCGGGGCGCTCCTCTGCGTTCCAAGTTCGCGGTCGGCCCGTCTCACGAGGACTCTCCTCTTTGCATTGCGGCCAAGAATGGGCATTCTGACGTGGTCGACCTCCTTATTGGTCGTGGTGCCTCCGTAAGAGAAAAGGACGAGCATGCCTGGCAACCGTTGCGCTACGGCGCATACTATGGTCATCCAGAGGTGGTGGAGAGGCTTCTTGCCGCTGGTGCCTCGATCTCAGGTATTCAGACGTGGGGCTTCAACCTTACCGCAGACAGGATTGGCTTCGCACAGAACGTGAACATCCCCGAGGATCGAAAGGAGCATGTGATGATTCTGCTCCAAAACGCAGAAGAACGGGAGCGTCTGATACAGGAGAGCGAGCTTGCGCGGCCTCCCCGACGTCCCGTGGATGATGGTGGCTTCCCTGAGCTCGACCAGGCAACTCAACCCACACATGTCGAGTTGAGGTCGTCCACCACTCGAGCGGGACCAGGCAAGCTATCTCGGCGGTTCTCCTACGAGGCACCATCGCAATCACGATCGGAATCGCAATACTCGGATAGTGATCAGCCTCAAGAGCCGTCGTATAGTGTGTCTCCGCTGCCACCGGGGCAACCTGAGCTCGATGGTCGCCGGAACAGATCAGAACCAGATGCAGTCTCGCCGTTGCCCCACCACATGAGAGCCCAATCAGAAGTACAAATACCTGCTTCTGCGTCCTCGGCGAACATGGACACCCCTCCCGCCAGAACAAATTCTGAGCACATCTCGTCCCGGTACAGAGACGTCACAAGACGATGGCGAGAAGCCGTGGCCGACAGGCCCAACCGCTCCGCAACAGTAGCCAGTAATGTCTACAACCTCAGAAGGTCGGAAGTATCTCAACCCAGCGCATTCTCACCCGGGCCTTCCGCCATGTCATACCAGACCGTGTCTGACATGGACAGGCCTAGTCCTGGTCCTGCATACCAGAGCGTCGGTACTTCGTTTAATACGTCCTCGATGCCGTGGAGTCCAGATTCGATCACTCAGCCTCCTGTCGAGAGTGTAGCCAGTCCTCCTCCTCCGCCGCCGCCGACGAGAACCCCGCCTCCACCGCCAATAGGGGCTGAGAGTGAAGTTCGTCCATGGCAGGTGATGCCGGTGGGGCGGGTCGAGATGGGATAGACAGTAAGGAGCAAGACTGCTCAGGTCAGTTAATTTAGGCGAGAAGGCGGATGAGTTGTTCGCCGTCTCACTCTCAAGGACTTAGGCGTAGTGTGTAAGGTCACGTAGATGTAGCGGGTAATTGTGTAGTTATGTTATGTTGTACGCGACATATGCTATATGCCCTGTAGGAGAAGCGATATAGCCTATCCATATATAGAGATGAATTATGTGGTATCATGTATAGCATGCGACTTAAGTGAATCCTCGGAGCTGTAAGATACACACAGAGAGACATACATATACACATGAAGTGAGAGAGCGGGGAGGGAGGGAGGGAGGGAGGGAGAGTCGGTCCGCTCTCTTTCTGTTGTTCAATCCGCGCTCACTCGGAGGGAGAATATTTTATATTGTACAGAGTATATGCAGTACCTAGTGTGGCAAGTCGTCGACGGCGTTCTTCAAGGCATCCAGTTCAAGATAACCTTATAGGTGAAGGTACAGTAAGGTGAAGTCAGGTGGCTATAGAAAGCTCTTCTCTTTCCTTACTCATTTACTCCCTCACTCGCTCAGTCACTCGCTCACTCATTTACTCCCTCACTTATATACTTGCTTATATACAGCCCTTTACATCTTACTCTCCCTTGTGCAGGTAATGTTTATATATCGTAATAGGGCTGATGAATCTGTAATTTAGCAAGGCTGCCGTGTCCCTGTACATGTAGTACAGAGAAGCAATCTGGCGTTCTGATTGGTTGGCGGAGCTTTAGCGCAAGGCTGCGCTTCTTTCCTACTGTTCGGCCTTTTTCGCTTTTTGCTTTTCGATAGTTCATACTTCATAGAGAGGACACAGACAAATACACACCAATTAGCTTGCAGACATCGCACCGTTCCTTCTGAAATGTAATGCAGTTGAGTGTCAGAAGAGGCTGTGCCTGCTGCCACAGAGACGCATACCCAGGGGTTGGCCATGAAGCCTCAGCCCGGTTCAATATGATATAATGTAATGTGCACGGCCCTTCACAGCTTCCTCTCCCTTGTGCGGTTATGTTTGTACATATAATATATAATGTGCCCGGCCGTTTTAGTAATCCGTATTACGATTCTCATGTTCTTATCATCATCATCATCATCACCATCATCCTCATTCTTGGTACCACGCGCTTTCTCGTTTTTATCTCTAACCAGTGATTCACCCCCAAGCCGGCGTAGAGAGACCGATACCTACTGTAGGTACTGTAAGTACTGTAGATACGTATGTGATTCCCCCCCGAGCCGGCGTAGAGACACCGCTACGTAGGTACGTATGCGAGCTCACATCTACCTACTTACAGTTAAAACTACCCCGATATATCACGCATGACCCAACGCTCATCATATCGACTGCGAGGATCGGAACGTCTCCATATACTGGCTTGCGACGGCGGGATTCCAGCTCTGGCCCGCCATGGACGACACGGACGACACGGACGGCCGTTGGTGCTGGTGCTGGTGCTGGTGCTGCTGGCCCGGTGCGTGTGGTGCATGTACCTGTGCTTGTCCTTGTGCTTGTGTCTGTGAAGGATACGAGGCCAACATGGCGTCGACGTGGCCTCCTCCTCCTCCACCACCGCCACCACCACCGGCGTGCTCGTTGTTCGGCGACGGCTCAAAGTTGAAGCCAAACGTGCCGTTCTCGAAATACGCAAACACGTCGGCGTCCGGCATGGCGAGATCCATGTTCAGGGCGTGCGCTTCGATCATGGAACCGTAGTCGCCCTCGAAATCCTCCTCGGTCCACATATACGGGAGGGCGAAGTTTTCTTGGGCCAACGCAGCGGCTGCTGCTGCTGATGATGACGATGACGATGATATCGGTGCCGTCATGCCCGGCTGCACCATTCCGGGATCCCTGGATGCCTGGAAGGGAGGTTGATCGAGGGCCGACGACGTGAATGCGACCGCCGTGGCACCATCCAAGTCTCCGTATGGCAGCGGCGCGGGAGTCTGTGTTGGGTGGTTCGGGCGCGGGGTGTCGGGATTTCGCCACACGTTTGTCGGCGCGTCGCTTGCGTCCATGGGCGTGGGCTGGATGCCTGGCGTCGAGATCTTGCCGACTTGGTGTTTGGTGATCATTTGGCCGATGAGGAAGCAGGCCGCGTCGGCGATGGGCCAGATCTCGCGAAGCCGCAGCATGGCTCGCACGCAGACGTGGAATTGTTGGCCGGGCAGCGCCCCCACGGTCTGTCCCTTGGCTTTGATGTCCACCAGGAAGGAAGCAAGCGCGAGGAGCATGAAGCTCACGGAGAGCGGAGGCAGGAATCGGATGAGATCCTTCTCCTGCATCGACTCGACCATCTCGGCGATCTTCTCGGCGGCCTCCTTGACTTTGGAGGTCGGACTGTTGCCCGAGCCGCCGGAAGGTTTCGACAGGGACTGCGGTCGGTTGAGCGCTTCGGTCGCCATCAGGTAGAGCATTCTCAAGACTGATCTGTGAACCAAGAGTGCGTCGGCGGTCGACGTGTCGGGGTCGACGTTGCTGGTGCCTGTCACTAACCAGCAACTGGGTGGCAGGTTGCGGTACCATTGGTCCAGCGCGTGTTGCAGGTCGAGATACTGCTTCGAGTTGACTTCGGACCGTCTCGGGGTGTAGAGCATGGTCGACTCCGCGGTCGAGCCGCCGAAGCCACGCAAATGGTAGAAATCTCGCAGGATTTGTCCGACGAACACCAGCAGCTTGATCTTCTCCATGCACATCTCGGCCAACATGGTCCTAGTATACGCGTCGGTGAGAAAGTCGCAGTCTCTCAGGCACGGAATGGCCGACGTGACGGACTTGGTTTCGAAGTCGTTGAGACCGAGCAGCGAGAGCCGGATGTCTTCGTTCTTGATCCGCATGGGCCGCCGCATACTGATCGCGATGACCCGGTCGCGGTATAGACAACACCACCAGATGCGTCGCCACAGAGCGGCCGTCTTGGCGTCCTTTTGCGTGTAGGTAAAGGGCTGGTTCAAGCCGATGCTCGTGGCGAGCGAGACGCATATCCCGAGCCAGTGCCAGGGATCTTTCTGGTCGTTCTCCGAAACGTACCAGTAATTCTTCATGAGCAGTGATTGGATGAGAGCTATGCGGTCCACGTCCCAGTCGAAGTCGTACAGGAGCTAATGATGCGTGTCAATTTGATGCAGCCAACTGAGTTGCAGGTCCGGCTGACTCACCTTGACCTTCTGATAATAGTCGGCCCTCGCGGCCCTCCGGTTTTCGTAGCCTGCTTCCTGGAGAAGCGGCAAGTCGACGTAGGCCGTGGCGGAAAACAGCACCGCCTGAAACACAATCAAGCTAATCTTTGGCGAGGCGTCGTTGCCGTCGAGGGCGCCCATGAAATCCTCGAGGTCGACAATGGGCATGAAGGGATAGACGTAGAGCACAAAACAGTGGAGGAGTTGATCGCGGAGCTCGCCCACCGGGGTGCTCAACGCGCCGCGCCGACACAGAAACTCCAAGTCATCCTGCCGGATATCTGGTCGCGAAGGACGGATATACGCTGGAAGCTCGAACGCCGGCTGTTGTCGGTTGGAGACGGTCGAAGTCGCGCCTACCTGGCTCTGTGCCCCGACGCTGGTGTTGGGGGTGATGGCGGTAGGGCTCTGGAAGCTGTTGGGTATGAAGGAGGGAATGATCGGGGTGGTGTGGACTGAGCGAACGTCCGTCCTCAAGCCTTCCGTGGCCAGCGCACCGGCATCCTGGTTCGCCGGGGCAGTCGTGCCGTCAAAGGTGTCGATGTCGTTTGGTCCATGATTCGGCCGGTATGAAGATGTGGAATCCGACGTCGATCTCGGTTGTGCCTGGGAGATCGGGGGCAGTGACACCAGGCTGCTCAACTGGCGTTTCTGAAGACGGTACTTCCTGCTCCGCTTCGACTCGAGGATGACGCATTCGATGCCGTCGGAGGAGCAGTTGTGGCAGGGAATGCCGGATTTGACGAGATCACACTTGACCTTCCGCGTCCTGCAGTGGTGGCATGCCTGGGACGCTCGCTTCTTCACCACGCGCTCCGTGGCATTCAGACCGCTCGAGGTCGACGTGTAGGGATTTTCCAGGCTGCCCATTGGTAATCTGTGTGCGAGGCGACGAGGGCAACTGTCAAGCTACCATTGTGTTAGATAATGTGACCGAGAAGTTGATGGCAGTTTGTGTCCGAGACTTTTCAGGCCAGTTCGGGGAGTAAGACGGTGCAGCAGAACACGAGGAGCTCGTCTCAAAGCGGGGGTGTTTCGCCTTGGCCAAGCTGGCAAGCTGATTCATGTGCTGTGCTCCGTACTGCTCACGGGGTGCAGGGGGGAAGCATGGCCTTGTCGTGCAAACAAGAGGTGATGTATGGTCTGCTGGTGAGCGAGCGAGGTCCCCCTGTGGTCAATGTTCTGTTCCCCGCGAATCCAGGCCAAGATGGGGATGATGGAGCGTCTTTGCTAATGGGATCAGAGATCGAGAGTCACCTAAGAGTCGATTTAGTGTGTACGGAGGACCGGGGTGCGTGGTGCGCATTACGGAGCAGGCGTGGGAGATGTCCGGGGTCGGCGAGTAGCTCCCGGTACACAGTACACAGTAGGCCGGGGGGTGGGAGGGTCACACCCCGGCAGACCGTGATCAATGGCGGTGGCGGTGGTAGCGAGGACAAAGACACTGGATGATTCACCACAGGACGGATATATAGAAGTGTAGTCTTCTCACCTATCGGCACACACTGTAGCGGATAGCACACACTGTAGCATCGCACAGCACAGCACATCGAACCGACTGTTACCTCGCTACTCCACCGGCCAATTACACACCATACACCAAGTCGGTATGCCGCCGTCGACACCGTCACGCCCAGCAGCACTCACACCCTCGTCGGTGCCACCCGGATACGACCACACGACGTCGACGACCCTGAAACCAAAATACGCATAAACATCCCTCGCCCGTTCATTCCCGGCGACCAACCACAAGGGCACCCTCTCGGCCTTTGCCCTCGTCACGAACGGCTCAATGACAGCGCGCACCGCGCCCTTGTCCCTGCGCAGCGGATCGCGCGCCATCAAGGACAACTTCCAGCGCGGCTGCGGGTCCGAACCAAAACACGCCGTCTCGGCGTCCTGGACCTGGCGCAAGAACCGCGCAAAGATAGGCCTTTGCCGATCCTGCTCCTGCTCCTGCTCCTGCGTCAGTTGCGCGGCGGTGGCTATCGCCGCAGGCGGCTCCCAACACGCCACGGCCGCGAAGTTGCCGGCCTCGACGACGACCGCCCCAGCCGCGAGTTTGGCGTCCACGCGCCGCTTGGCGCCAATGTACAGCAGCTGGCTTGTCACGGGGGTTGAGGCGCCCGCGGTTTCTTGCTGGAAGACGACGTTCAGCGGGTCCGTCAGCGTGGCGCGCGATGTGATCTCGGCGAGCCGGTGGGCGTATTCGGGCGATCGGGATAGCGTGAAGGATATAGACGTCGTGGTGCTGGACGTGGGGGGAGAGAGATGAGGGATGCGCACTTCTGTCGATAGGGCGGGGGCGAGGGTGTGCCCATGGTCGTGGCCGTGGCCGTGGCCGTGGCCGTGGCCGTGGTCGTGGTCGTCGGTGATGGAGCACGACGCTACACTTGTGTCTGCGTCTGTGGCCGTGTCTGTCCCTGCGTTTGTGCCCGTGCCTACTGGCACTTCTTCCATTTTGAAACTCAATCTATCTTGCGCCGCCGCCGCAGTTGACCGGGGAGACTTCCTTCACGATACGACTGACTGTATCGATCGGGTATTAGTTGTCACGACGCACGACCCGTCGTCCTTTGTCAAATGGATGATGATGCCATGGCAAGCAGGGCGCGATCACATAGGAATAAACGGCACAGGAGGACTCGCGTAGAACATACAGAGGAGCGGGAGTTAAGGTATGCATATGAGTCATCGGGTGGTGAAAGCATGGTGTTGCATGCCGTGGGTGCGTCTCTGTCTGCGTCTCTGTCTGCGTCTATATCTGCGTCTATGTCTGCGTCTATGTCTGCGTCTATGTCTGCGTCTGGGGTAATTATGGCGTCGAGGGCTTTTATCCCAAGTTCAAGCCGACCGAAAGATGCAGGCGCCACGACTTGAGCAAGAGACATTCAGGTTCATCAATGCGACATCCGACGCTTGACTGTCTTGTATCGTCTTGGACGGATTCACCTCCGCAGGTTCAAATGAAGCGAAGCCATAGAAGAGGTTGACTCTAGCAAGCGGAGGGGCCTAGCATACCTAGGTAGGTACTTATGTACTGGGTACTCCGTACTCTCCTCGGCCCTAGAGGCCACGCAAGACATGTCGGGGGTGGCCCTCTGAGAGCTGGCTCGTATACACTCTAATTAGCGAGACTGGCATGGATAATATACTGTACTCCGGAGGATACTCGTACCTAGGTATTTATTTCGGCTACCACGGTCTACCGTTGAAGTCGTCTAATGAAACACACCCTGAATCCAATGCAAGTTGCAAGTGGCGGGACTCCCTTTCACATCCAACAGAGGACTTACTAACCCGTCCGAAACGCATCTGCATATTGAATAACAGTAGCTGGTGGTATGACTATGTTGGCCGAGTAAGTGGCGAGGAACCACATAGGCATGTTTTAATAGTCGATTTCAAGGGTAGACCGTGGTATCTACCGTACCACGGAACGAGCCACTGGTAAAGACAGGGCATCACACATCTACGCTTCCCGTCTCTCGCTCGACACGTCGCCGTATCCGCTGGTGGCATTACAACGCATACCGAAACTCCGGGTTTTGCTTGTCCGTCAGGTCCATAAACTCGGTGTCTGGCACGTGGACATGTCCTTCCGCCGTCGCAGCAGCCACGCGGTCCCGACGCCGGTTCTCCCAGAAATACCAGTACCGGAGCACCAACGCCGTCACGATGGCCAAGGACAGACAGGCCATGATGGCCACCTTGGCGGGGATGTAGTCTGGCGCCGTGTACCCCGTGAATGTCAGCGGTCCGATGATGTTGGACGCCCCATACGCGAACAGGATGGTGGCGTTGACGCTGATCTTCTTGGTGTGGCCCGCATAGTTGGCCGCGGCCCACGAGTACATCATCGACAGGTCTGCCCGATACGGTTCATATTAGCATGGACATGGGCGCAGACGTAGGGAGGAGGGGCTTGCTCACTGGGCCCAAACACTTGGGTGAGATAGATCCCGGCCAGTTTGCCGGCCTTGTCGCTCTTGGGCAGGAATGCCATGAGACCGCCTCCGAGGACGCCAGGCACCAAAAGCGCCACGATCCCGTACCCGCGGTTGTTGAACTCGCCGGCGTACCAGGACGCTGACAGCACCGCAATCATCGAGATGGCGCCACTCGGGATGTTCAGCAAGGCCGACTGCTTCGAGGTGTATCCGAATCCCTTGATCAGGGTTGACGAATAAGTCCCGCACGCCCCGGTGGGCACGTTGCCGGCGATGACGATCACGATGATGAGCCATGTCCGCGGGTCCAGCATGGTTTCGGCGAATTGCTCCCGCTTGAACGTCTTGTTCTCAATCCCGGTTCGGTTCTCCCGAAGCCTCTCGATGGCCAAGACCTTTTCGTTGTGATGGAAGCGCGATGCCATGGGAGAATCAGGCAGGATCAGAAAGACGACGATTCCCCAGGCGACGGTCACGATCCCAAACACCAGAAACATGATCTTCGTCGACGTGTTAGTCGTCTGTCCCAGTCAGAGTCTCCGGACGCCACGTACCTGCCACGACTTGAACGACTTGTCCGTATAGTGCTGGAAGCCAAAGGACGCGAGAGCCCCGACGATCGTCCCTGCGCCGACCCCGAGGTACCATATCGCCACTCTCAGAGGTTGTTCTTCACGCTGCAGGGAGTGATGCGGATTAGCTGGAAGGCGGCAGAGACCGGGCAACGGGGCAACTCGCACCTTGTACCACATTCCCGTGATCAGAATCAGACACGGAGCACTGGATGCCTCGAACACGCCCAAGAGCAGGCGTACGACAATGAGACCGCCGAAGTTGTGACAGGAGCTGTGGACTTCGTGCGCGGGTGTCAGCAAGTGGCGAGGTTTTCCGGTCTGCGATATCCAACTGACCGGCCAACATCACACCCCATAGAACGACATTCACCGCCAGGTATTTTGCTGTCGGGAACTTCTGCATCAGGTAGGCATGTACCGGCTGGAACACGGCAAAGGTGACGTAGAAGAAGGTCGCAAGGTAGGAGAAGTCGGCCGCGCTCATGTTCGTGTCCTTGCTCAAACCCATGACATTGGCATAGTTGACTTGTCGAGCAGATTAGCCCGACCACGCTCACGCAAGGGGCCCCGTGGGACATACTCAGGCTCTTGTCAATGTACTGCAGGACGTACACCTGTGGATCTGCATTAGCAGGTGCCCGTCTGGACGAACACGACCCTCAGAACAGGCTCGGTACAGACAACTCACTCCGAACAACAGGGGCATGATGCGATAGTCGATCCGGCGGAGCAGTTCCTTCTCGTCCAACTCGGCAATCGACGCGTCGGCCTCATGTCGAAGGAAGGCAAGAGCTCCGTCTACCTCGTGGATCGCGAGCTTCTCGTTGGTCTCGAGAATAGGCTGCTCAACAGGCCTTGTGGCGTGCGCGATAGTCTCGACGTCTTTCGACATGGCTGTGAGTGTGCTCAAGTCCTCCGGCAAAACCGTCTGGAGTCGACAGCTTGAAAATCAACCCTGATGGAGGTTGCGAAAGTCAGTGGTCCCCCACTGGAGCCACGGTCATCGTCCCGACCCATATATAGATGCCTCTTGAGGGCAAATGCTTGCAAACACGGCCAACCTGAGCTCCAATAGTGGCACCGAACCCAGATTCAACCCGTGGGAAAGATTAGAGATATCGGCCAGCATGTCTCCCCCTGCCGTTGTAAGCTGCGGGTGGCTCAAGATACAGTCCCGACGCTACTGAGACCACGATACAGTCCCGAAGGAGACTGGACGAATGGTAAGGTTCGCCCATCAAGTAGTCGAGGACAAAGATACAGTCCCGCACCGGAGTATGAGCGATGGGGATGGAAGCTATCTTCACCCGCCTCGTCTCCTTCCTGAAATGGACGCATATGCAGGTCCTTCGCGCGCATCTCGTGTGGCGGACATTCCCGACCATGTACTCCGTACGAGTACACGTTGTTGGATGCTTGTCGCGGATATCCCGATAGACACGTTTTCTAGGTCCATTGTAGCTGCCGCCGACATCCTTCCGCAGAGGCAGAGGCTACTACACCCAGTGGCGGATATAGGAAGGGAGGCGGCTGCTCAGCCCGTTGCTCAATCCACGGGGCAAAGGTGAAAAGGAAATGCCAGTGTGACAAGACGTCGCTCCCTGCTCGCTGATCGATCCACTGCCACGACGGACCGTGTGTCCAGCAAGGATTTGGCAAGTCCCTTCCATCATGATGACGCTTTGCAAATCGCGTATGCTTCGCCCCGGTTCCATCCCGGCGAGGTCGAGCCTCTTTTCTTTTTCGAACAGGACATCTTCGCTCGCGCTGAGATCTGTGCGTCCGTTTGCCGCCGTGGCCGAGGGGACCATTCCCCCCTTCAGAGTCAACGAGAAGCGCCTCTGGGATGCAATCCACCACACTGCACAATGGGGTGCCACGCCAGACGGGGGCATTCGGCGTCTCGCGCTGACAGACCTGGACAAAGCCGTGCGAGAGTGGTTCATCTCGTCGGTCAAATCACTTGGCTGCAGCGTCAAAGTCGACGAGATGGGCAGCATCTTCGCCACGCGCCCGGGAACATCCTCGTCGCTCCCTCCGATCGGCATTGGCAGTCATCTCGACACGCAGCCGGCCGGCGGGCGCTACGACGGCATCCTCGGTGTGCTCGCCGGCATCGAGGTACTGCGAGTCCTCGAGGAAAACGGGCACAAGTCGTATGCGCCGATTGCAGTCATTGACTGGACGAACGAGGAAGGGGCGCGGTTCAACACAGGCATGGTGTCTTCGGGGGTCTGGTCAGGTCGATACACGCTGGACTTTGCTCATGCGCTCCCTGCCGCCGAGGACAAGACGAATGCAATGACCTTCAAGAGCGAGCTGGAGCGGATCGGGTTTCTGGGCACGGTGCCTGCATCGTACCAGGCCAATCCACTGAGTTCACATTTCGAGCTGCATATCGAGCAGGGTCCGATCTTGGAAGACGAGGCGAAGAAAGTCGGGGTTGTAACCGGTGTCCAGAGTATGGGATGGCTCATCGTGACAGTCCACGGAGAGAATCAGCATTCGGGCACCTGCCCGATGGCCCGCAGGGCGTGTGCTCTGACGTCTGCTGCTCGGATGATATCCCGCGTCGAGGAGATAGCCCTCGCGGCTCGGGGTCTATCGACCGTGGGGGTCATCAACTCGTGGCCTCAGTCTCCAGCCACGGTGCCTCATAAAGTCGTCTTCAGTGTCGACTTGAGCCACCATTCCACCGAAGTTCGAGAAGCCATGATAGCTGATACAACTTCGGAGTTCGCGCGGATTGCCCACGCCAACAAGTGTTCTGTCGAAATCCAAGACATCTGGAACAGCCCTGCTGTCCAGTTCCACCCGGACTGCATCAGCTGTGTAAGGGAAGCAGCCATAAACGTAGCGGGCGAGGACGGCGTCAAGGAAATGGTGGCTGGTGCCGGACATGACAGCGTCCACACAAGCGATAGAGTCCCGACGA